GGTATACTGACACATGTCTAGATAAGCCCTACACTGACAGATGTCTAGATGTGCCCTATACTGACAGATGTCTAGATGTACCCAGGTATACTGACAGATGACTGGATGTGCCCTATACTGACAGATGTCTAGATGTGCCCCGGTATACTGACTGATGTCTAGATGTGCCCTATACTGACAGATGTCTAGATGTGCCCTAAACTGACAGATGCCTAGATGTGCCCTACACTGACAGATGTCTAGATGTGCCATGGTATACTGACAGATGTCTAGATGTGCCCAGGTATACTGACACATGTCTAGATGTGCCCTATACTGACAGATGTCTAGATGTACCCAGGTATACTGACAGATGACTAGATGTGCCCTATACTGACAGATGTCTAGATGTGCCCTACACTTACAGATGTCTAGATGTGCCCAGGTATACTGAAAGATGTCTAGATGTGCCCTATACTGACCGATGTATAGATGTGCCCAGGTATACTGACAGATGTCTAGATGTGCCCTATACTGACCGATGTCTAGATGTGCCCAGGTATACTGACAGATGTCTAGATGTACCCGATACTGACAAATGTATAGATGTGCCCTATACTGACAGATGTCTAGATGTGCCCTACACTGACAGATGTCTAGATGTGCCCAGGTATACTGACAGATGTCTCGATGTGCCCTATACTGACCGATGTCTAGATTTGCCCAGGTATACTGACACATGTCTAGATGTGCCCTATACTGACAGGTGTCTAGATGTGCCCTACACTGACAGATGTCTAGATGTGCCCAGGTATACTGACAGATGTCTAGATGTGCCCAGGTATACTGACACATGTCTAGATGTGCCCTATACTGACAGATGTCTAGCTGTGCCCTACACTGACAGATGTCTAGATGTGCCCTATACTGACAGATGTTTAGATGTGCCGAGGTATACTGACACATGTCTAGATGTGCCCTATACTGACACATTTCTAGATGTGCCCTATACTGACTGATGTCTTGATGTGCCCTATACTGACAGATGTCTAGATGTGCCCTACTCTGACAGATGTCTAGATGTGCCCAGGTATACTGACACATGTCTAGATGTGCCCTATACTGACACATTTCTAGATGTGCCCAGGTATACTGACAGATGTCTAGATGTGCCCAGGTATACTGACAGATGTCTAGATGTGTCCAGGTACACTGACAGATGTTTTAGATGTGCCCAGGTATACTGACAGATGTCTAGATGTGCCCAGGTATACTGACAGATGTCTAGATGTACCCAGGTATACTGACAGATGTATAGATGTACCCTATACTGACAAATGTATAGATGTGCCCTATACTGACAGATGTCTAGATGTGCCCAGGTATACTGACAGATGTCTAGATGTGCCCTATACTGACAGATGTTTAGATGTGCCCAGGTATACTGACACATATCTAGATGTGCCCTATACTGACAGATGTTTAGATGTGCCCTACACTGACAGATGTCTAGATGTGCCCTATACTGACAGATGTCTAGATGTGCCCAGGTATACTGACAGATGTCTAGGTGTGCCCTATACTGACAGATGTCTAGATGTGCCCTACACTGACAGATGTCTAGATGTGCCCAGGTATACTGACAGATGTCTAGATGTGCCCTATACTGACAGATGTCTGCTTTGTTTTCATTACAAATACAGAAATGTCATAGAAAATATTTAAGTAGCACATGAATACATATTTTGTGTTAAATCTTTATCTCCACACAGAAGAGTTCCATCACCAGCTATAAGCCTGGCTTATCTGAAACTTTCCGTTTATGTTTATACTAGTATTAGAAATATGTTATTAGCCGAGTTGTAATAATTTGCTCTCTGCTATTGGAATGGTGAAGGAATGGGTAGGTGTGGTGAGAGGATGGTGTATATCAACATCTACTAATACCACAGACTGTATTTGAGTGGATTTTCATAAAACTTGGGAAAGGATTCTCCTTCCTTCATACCTACACATATATAAGCCGAGTTTTATACTCAGTGCTTATTTTATTTTTGCCTCCCGTGCAAAGAATGAAGCGAAGGTGGCCATTATTGTTACTGTTTGGTGGCGAGAGAAATAGTGTCTGTGTCAATGTTTTAAGTTTTGCATCGAAAATAAATTAATTAGATATTTGCTCTGACTCTCAGATTAAATGCTGTTAATGGTCAAAGAAGGGGCAGGTCAGACATATAATGCTTTAGAAAGTTTACACACTGCATATAAATTCATACCCAATACACATGTTATACACAATTGAAATCCTCTCCATAACTTTGATACTCCTTGATGATATTCCTGGCAATTTTATCATTAAAGCTATTGTTATTTTGTTAAATGTTAAGATTTCAAAACAGATATTTCACTTTGACTAAGCTGAGGTATATCTTACGTGAGGGACATTCTATTTTGATAAAAAAATAACAAACTTTATTTTACGACAGTTTATGAAAAAAGCTTTTCTGACTTATATTGATCACTTCTGTTGGATCGGATGGAAGCTTAGAGATGTGGTAGGAAACTTAAGTACCTAGAAAAAATACACATGGACGGGCAGGTGATCCAATGCCTTTCCACATCCAAGCATGGAATTGAAGCCCAGCTGTCTTGCTATAAGGCGAGTGTAATATCCACTGCGCCACCTGACCAATTGATTGGGAGATCAATATCATTAGATACTCAGTAATATCATGTTTGAGTTTCTTGGTTTGAATATTAATTGTGATATAAAACATAAACAATATTCCATTAAGTTCATCATATTTTAGGTAATTTGTTTAAATTAGTAATTAGGATCTATATTTCCCTTGACCTGTATCTAAGTAAATGTATGTTATATACAATAAAACACCATTTAGTTTATCACATTCAAGGTAATTAGTTTGAATCAGTAATTAGGATCTATATTTCCCTTGGCCTGTATCTAAGTTAATGTATGTTATATACAATAAACCACCATTGACAGGTTTTATGGTACTCTCTGTCTGGCTGCTAACAGGGGATGTGATGAACACCATATGCTGTCCACATTCACACTACATCCAGGTCCACCGAGGCCAATAACACTGTATTCTGCCACTACACATGCGATGTGTACCACATAACACATTACATGTACACATGTCGTTAGTTTGACCAGTGCTGTAGCGGCCATGGGATTGCATGTATTGGAGAAATACAGTCAGTCACGTAATTCAAAGTCAGTCAGTCATGTAATTCAAAGTACACATTACAGTAGCCCAATACGTCCTTACACAGGTCACATTTTGTCTACTCTGAAGATGCTGTTGCAGTTTCCTCCTCTAGATGCTGAACTCAAAAAGCAAAAATATTTGCAATATTACTTCGATTTTAGGATATTTTCACCGACTGCTGTAATAACTGATTGATTGATACAGGCCCTCGGGGTCTCTTGTTTGTTGAACAATTCACTGCAAAATGACCATGCAGAAGTATATTTACACACTATGAAATACAAACACATTGTATATATAACAACAGATGTATTTATTATTGGTAGTGAATTTGAGGGATTAAGAAACATAATTTTGTATGACAAGTTTATTCCATTTGAGATATTGTTTGGTCTGGGACTTTCATATGATAAAGTGATGAGATCAATTTTTGTATGCAGAAGCTGGAAATATCTGTTGCATGTAAATGGCATTTAGCTATAGCAGTTTTGTTTCATATCATGGAATTACCTTTTCAAAATAATGCTATATGAAATAACCATTGATCATTGGAGCAGTATCTGGTTAAAGTTAAAGCTATCAGGATCTATTTTTTGATGGTGTAGCTTTTTTTACTAAAGGCTAACCAAGTTGCAAACATGTATTGATCCAATATTAAAAGATAGGAAGAAATATTCTTTCTTATTTGTTTTTCCAAAGAAAATATGGCTTTGATGGTATAAAATTACTATAACTTGCTTGCATATTATACAGGCTTGAAAAAAAACTTTGAAGGGTTGTCTTAAAAAGTACCAACTTTTTCTATGCCAAAGCTGAGACTTTCCTGTTTCATCTCTGCGGACTAGAATTCCATGAATTTAAAAACTCAACAAACACTTTGAAACTATTGAGATGTTACAATAACTTGGTACCAATTAAACTATTGAGATGTTACAATAACTTGGTACCAATTAAACTATTGAGATGTTACAATAACTTGGTACCAATATTTCAAACAGCTGGATCATACTTTCTTGCTTAGTAATTCTTTAATTGTAAATGTATGAGAAAAAATATCAGTTACCTATTTTGTAAAAGGAGTAAGTCTCTCTGACTTATAATGACCTATTCCAACATGCCAGAATATTTTCACCTTGTCTAAATCATTACAATGTAACTAATATAACATCTCTTGATTCTTTCACAAAAAAATAAGTAAGAGCTTCTATAAACCGCTATTCCGTCTTTTCTTATTGCAGAGTTATCTGCTCTTGTGAGCAGGTATTGATTGTTACGTCATTTGTTTGTGAGAGAAAATTACATTGTCTCACAAACAAATGACGTAACAATCAATACCTGCTCACAAGAGCAGATAACTCTGCAATACGATAAGACGGAATTGCTGATTGATAATTTGCAACGTGTCCCAGATTTGTCTATGCCTTAATTGTTATTCACTGTAAGTTATCATCCTTCGATTGAAATAATTCAGTTTTTAACACTCGTAGTCTATGAGTGTTACAAGTATATACTGGTAATGAATAGGTGGAGGTGTTTCTATTGGTGAGCTGTATCTGCCGCCGGGGCTATCACTCAGTAAGACCTTATAGTGCTGTCTCACTGAAATATCATTTGTCCTGAACAGTTAATAAGTCTACCGGCGTAATTGACCTATAACTGGCTAGGATGATTATGTGCCTATATAGCTAACCAGTGTTGGAAATACACATGCTGTAAAAACGAGTCTGGTTCCCCAAGATACAGATTAAACGATTTAGTAATGACTCTCGTTGCTTTTGTATTTTACAGAATACTCGAAGAACATGCGCATCCCCGCTGAGACGGCTCCCCTGTCTGACCCACTGTGTGCCACACGTGTCCTTTGTGGAGCTCTCATTCTGCCAACCATTGCCACGATTGTCGGGAAACTCATGTTTGGATCGGTCCAATCAAACTTCCAAAGAACTTTGTTGGTATGTACTGGTAGTAATAGTATTTTCATTTCATGGGGTCAAATTTTCAGTTTTCTGAATGAAACAATTTTTCATTAGCATTAAAGTAAGATATTGTTTTCAAGACTTCCATGTAATATTAAAACAAGAGTCGAAAAATGCACTTTGTAAAATCAAATGCATATATTAGGGCTGTGGCGATATAAGTATGCACTCTACCAGAGATAGAATTGGATAGGATAGAATACCAGAGTTAAAAAGATATATAAACCTTGTTTATTTTACAACAATTATGAAACAAGTTATTTCAACTTATATTAATCACTCTTGTTGGCCCGGATGTTAGAGTTATTGTGGGAGGAAACCGGAGTACCCTGAGAAAACCCACGTGGTCGGGTGGGTGACCCAATACCTTTTTAAGTACGATTGGGGAATCAAACCCCGGCCGCCAGAATAATAAATTTAACCTGTTGAAAAAAAGCCACTGTATACTCCGTAAACCTGTTTAAAGCAGATATTCAACTAAACCTTTGTAATAGGGAAACCCTAATTATGGCCAGATATCCAACAAAATTCCACTGTCATACAGTTCTCTGTAATCTTGGATTGTGTTTGATAGAGACCTGTATAATGTGGACCTTAACAAACCAAAACCTCTCTATTACATACAAAAATATTGGTTCCATTATTTACAGAGCTCACTGAACACAAGTTTATTCCTATTTTTCAACTTGATTAGTTTCATTCATTGGTTCTGTATCCATTGAGAAAAACCATATCTTTTCTCCTTTTAATCAATATGGAGAGGCCCATGAATTAATTGTGTAATCTTATCATTTAGTGGAAACCTGATATCTCACCCTAAGTGTTTAATATTTTTATTTTTTTAGCTCACCTGGCCCTTTAGTTTTTAATTCTATGGTCTGGAAGAAATGTAGCATCAAACCTCTTTTGTAAAGAAATTGGTTGTAAGGGAGGCAACTCCCAAACCATCATGTGGAGACTAGGTAGCAGGGTAATAAAGAAATTGGTTGTAAGGGAGGCAACTTCCAAACCATCAAAATGTGGAGACTAGGTAGCAGGGATACATGATAGGTATTGTTCACCAGGAAACCTTCATTTCTATTTTTACTCATTCACCCCTGAAGACACATTTGAACCCCTCCTATTCAAAGATTGGAATAGCTCATTACTAAATTATAGGGGTGAATGAGTTAAGCTCCTATTGAGTTATTTCATCATCTTTGTACATAAATCTTATCCTTTCTAGTGTAGTTGAAGTTTGTAATTGGAATTTTGAAGCACCTCCTGCTTAAAGTCCGATAATTATGTGCTGACACTTGGGAATTATTTCAGGATATAAACGGTAAATTATTCATTTTTAAAAATTGTACACATACATTACTAGGTACACATATTTTAATGCTGATAGCTTTGTCTAAAATAATTTCAATCAGAAGAAATCTTTTGCAATGAGCACAGATTCTTGTTATAAAATAATTAATTGAAGAAATTAATTGTAAGCTTTCCTAGCTAGTCAACCCCCTTAAATATAGCGACCATGACATTTTATTAACTGTTACGGTATTTTGTTTAAACTTGATGAGATTCTTTCAAAAGCCTTCAAGAAAGATGTCTGCCTTGGTCTCTTGTTAGTGGGAGATAAAGTTATGACTAAACTGGTTATCAATATTTCCTATCATCTCCTGAACAATTGTTCACTAATCATGAATCTACGCTTTTCAACAATCTTCAGGGACACCTGTAGTGAACATCTGAATGAAATATCAGTTAATTTACTTAGACTTCATGGTCAGCATGCATTATCACAGAATAAAATTAATACTGAGGTCAGCATGCATTATCACAGAACAAAACTAATACTAAGGTCATCATGCATTATCACAGAACAAAATCACAGAACAAAATTAATACTAAGGTCATCATGCATTATCACAGCACAAAATTAATACTAGGGTCATCATGCATTATCACAGAACAAAATTAATACTAAGGTAAGCATGCATTATCCCAGAACAAAATTAATACTAAGGGAAGCATGCATTATCACAGAACAAAATTAATACTTAGGTCAGCATGTATTATCACAGAACAAAATTAATACTAAGGTAAGCATGCATTATCACAGAACAAAACTAATACTAAGATCATCATGCATTATCACAGAACAAAATTAATCCTAAGGTAAGCATGCATTATCACAGAACAAAATTAATAATGTCATCATGCATTATCGCAGAACAAAATTAATAATAAGGGCATCATGCATTATCACAGAACAAAATTAATACTAGGGTCAGCATGCATTATCACAGAACAAAATTAATAATGTCATCATGCATTATCGCAGAACAAAATTAATAATAAGGGCATCATGCATTATCACAGAACAAAATTAATACTAAGGTCAGCGTGCATTATCACAGAACAAAATCACAGAACAAAATTAATACTAAGGTCAGCGTGCATTATCACAGAACAAAATCACAGAACAAAATTAATACTAAGGTAAGCATGCATTATCACAGAACAAAATCACAGAACAAAATTAATACTTAGGACAGCATGCATTATCACGGAACAAAATTAATACTAAGGTCTGCATGTATTATCACAGAACAAAATTAATACTAAGGTCAGCGTGCATTATCACAGAACAAAATCACAGAACAAAATTAATACTAAGGTCAGCGTGCATTATCACAGAACAAAATCACAGAACAAAATTAATACTAAGGTCATCATGCATTATCAAAGAACAAAATTAATACTAAGGTCAGCATGTATTATCACAGAACAAAATTAATACTAAGGTCAGCGTGCATTATCACAGAACAAAATCACAGAACAAAATTAATACTAAGGTAAGCATGCATTATCCCAGAACAAAATTAATACTAAGGGAAGCATGCATTATCACAGAACAAAATTAATACTTAGGTCAGCATGCATTATCACGGAACAAAATTAATACTAAGGTCTGCATGTATTATCACAGAACAAAATTAATACTCAGGTCATCATGCATTATCACAGAACTTAATTACTTCATGGTCAGCATGCATTATCACAGAAGAAAATTAATACTGAGGTCAGCATGCATTATCACAGAACAAAATTAATAATGTCATCATGCATTATCGCAGAACAAAATTAATAATAAGGGCATCATGCATTATCACAGAACAAAATTAATACTAAGGTCAGCGTGCATTATCACAGAACAAAATCACAGAACAAAATTAATACTAAGGTAAGCATGCATTATCACAGAACAAAATTAATACTAAGGGAAGCATGCATTATCACAGAACAAAATTAATACTCAGGTCATCATGCATTATCACAGAACAAAATTAATAATGTCATCATGCATTATCGCAGAACAAAATTAATAATAAGGGCATCATGCATTATCACAGAACAAAATTAATACTAGGGTCAGCATGCATTATCACAGAACAAAATTAATACTAGGGTCAGCATGCATTATCACAGAACAAAATTAATAATGTCATCATGCATTATCGCAGAACAAAATTAATAATAAGGGCATCATGCATTATCACAGAACAAAATTAATACTAAGGTCAGCGTGCATTATCACAGAACAAAATCACAGAACAAAATTAATACTAAGGTAAGCATGCATTATCCCAGAACAAAATTAATACTAAGGGAAGCATGCATTATCACAGAACAAAATTAATAATGTCATCATGCATTATCGCAGAACAAAATTAATAATAAGGGCATCATGCATTATCACAGAACAAAATTAATACTAGGGTCAGCATGCATTATCACAGAACAAAATTAATAATGTCATCATGCATTATCGCAGAACAAAATTAATAATAAGGGCATCATGCATTATCACAGAACAAAATTAATACTAAGGTCAGCGTGCATTATCACAGAACAAAATCACAGAACAAAATTAATACTAAGGTCATCATGCATTATCACAGCACAAAATTAATACTAGGGTCATCATGCATTATCACAGAACAAAATTAATACTAAGGTCAGCGTGCATTATCACAGAACAAAATCACAGAACAAAATTAATACTAAGGTCATCATGTATTATCACAGAACAAAATTAATACTAAGGGAAGCATGCATTATCACAGAACAAAATTAATACTCAGGTCATCATGCATTATCACAGAACAAAATTAATACTAGGGTCAGCATGCATTATCACAGAACAAAATTAATACTAAGGTAAGCATGCATTATCACAGAACAAAATTAATACTAGGGTCAGCATGCATTATCACAGAACAAAATTAATACTAAGGTAAGCATGCATTATCACAGAACAAAATTAATACTTAGGTCAGCATGCATTATCACGGAACAAAATTAATACTAAGGTCTGCATGTATTATCACAGAACAAAATTAATACTCAGGTCATCATGCATTATCACAGAACTTAATTACTTCATGGTCAGCATGCATTATCACAGAAGAAAATTAATACTGAGGTCAGCATGCATTATCACAGAACAAAATCACAGAACAAAATTAATACTAAGGTCATCATGCATTATCACAGCACAAAATTAATACTAGGGTCATCATGCATTATCACAGAACAAAATTAATACTAGGGTCAGCATGCATTATCACAGAACAAAATTAATCCTAAGGTAAGCATGCATTATCACAGAACAAAATCACAGAACAAAATTAATACTAAGGTCAGCGTGCATTATCACAGAACAAAATCACAGAACAAAATTAATACTAAGGTAAGCATGCATTATCACAGAACAAAATCACAGAACAAAATTAATACTTAGGACAGCATGCATTATCACGGAACAAAATTAATACTTAGGTCAGCATGCATTATCACAGAACAAATTTAATACTAAGGTCAGCATGCATTATCACGGAACCAAATTAATACTTAGGTCAGCATGTATTATCACAGAACAAAATTAATACTCAGGTCATCATGCATTATCACAGAACTTAATTAATACTAAGGTCAGCATGCATTATCACAGAACAAAATTAATACTAAGGTCATCATGCATTATCACAGAACAAAATTAATACTAAGGTCAGCATGCATTATCACAGAACAAAATTAATACTAAGGTCATCATGCATTATCACAGAACAAAATTAATACTAAGGTCAGCATGCATTATCACAGAACAAAATTAATACTAAGGTCATCATGCATTATCACAGAACAAAATTAATACTAAGGTCAGCATGCATTATCACAGAACAAAATTAATACTAAGGTCATCATGCATTATCACAGAACAAAATTAATACTAAGGTCAGCATGCATTATCACAGAACAAAATTAATACTAAGGTCATCATGCATTATCACAGAACAAAATTAATACTAAGGTCAGCATGCATTATCACAGAACAAAATTAATACTAAGGTCATCATGCATTATCACAGAACAAAATTAATACTAAGGTCAGCATGCATTATCACAGAACAAAATTAATACTAAGGTCATCATGCATTATCACAGAACAAAATTAATACTAAGGTCAGCATGCATTATCACAGAACAAAATTAATACTAAGGTCATCATGCATTATCACAGAACAAAATTAATACTAAGGTCAGCATGCATTATCACAGAACAAAATTAATACTAAGGTCATCATGCATTATCACAGAACAAAATTAATACTAAGGTCAGCATGCATTATCACAGAACAAAATTAATACTAAGGTCATCATGCATTATCACAGAACAAAATTAATACTAAGGTCAGCATGCATTATCACAGAACAAAATTAATACTAAGGTCATCATGCATTATCACAGAACAAAATTAATACTAAGGTCAGCATGCATTATCACAGAACAAAATTAATACTAAGGTCATCATGCATTATCACAGAACAAAATTAATACTAAGGTCAGCATGCATTATCACAGAACAAAATTAATACTAAGGTCATCATGCATTATCACAGAACAAAATTAATACTAAGGTCAGCATGCATTATCACAGAACAAAATTAATACTAAGGTCATCATGCATTATCACAGAACAAAATTAATACTAAGGTCAGCATGCATTATCACAGAACAAAATTAATACTAAGGTCATCATGCATTATCACAGAACAAAATTAATACTAAGGTCAGCATGCATTATCACAGAACAAAATTAATACTAAGGTCATCATGCATTATCACAGAACAAAATTAATACTAAGGTCAGCATGCATTATCACAGAACAAAATTAATACTAAGGTCATCATGCATTATCACAGAACAAAATTAATACTAAGGTCAGCATGCATTATCACAGAACAAAATTAATACTAAGGTCATCATGCATTATCACAGAACAAAATTAATACTAAGGTCAGCATGCATTATCACAGAACAAAATTAATACTAAGGTCATCATGCATTATCACAGAACAAAATTAATACTAAGGTCAGCATGCATTATCACAGAACAAAATTAATACTAAGGTCATCATGCATTATCACAGAACAAAATTAATACTAAGGTCAGCATGCATTATCACAGAACAAAATTAATACTAAGGTCATCATGCATTATCACAGAACAAAATTAATACTAAGGTCAGCATGCATTATCACAGAACAAAATTAATACTAAGGTCATCATGCATTATCACAGAACAAAATTAATACTAAGGTCAGCATGCATTATCACAGAACAAAATTAATACTAAGGTCATCATGCATTATCACAGAACAAAATTAATACTAAGGTCAGCATGCATTATCACAGAACAAAATTAATACTAAGGTCATCATGCATTATCACAGAACAAAATTAATACTAAGGTCAGCATGCATTATCACAGAACAAAATTAATACTAAGGTCATCATGCATTATCACAGAACAAAATTAATACTAAGGTCAGCATGCATTATCACAGAACAAAATTAATACTAAGGTTATCATGCATTATCACAGAACAAAATTAATACTAAGGTCAGCATGCGTTATCACAGAACAAAATCACAGAACAAAATTAATACTTAGGTCAGCATGCATTATCACAGAACAAAATTAATACTAAAGTCATAATGCATTATCACAGAACAAAATTAATACTAAGGATATCATGCATTATCACAGAACAAAATTAATACTAAAGTCATAATGCATTATCACAGAACAAAATTAATACTAAGGTTATCATGCATTATCACAGAACAAAATTAATACTAAAGTCATCATGCATTATCACAGAACAAAATTAATACTAAGGTTATCATGCATTATCACAGGACAAAATTAATACTAAGGTCAGCATGCGTTATCACAGAACAAAATTAATACTAAGGTCAGCATACATTATCACAGAACAAAATCACAGAACAAAATTAATACTAAGGTCAGCATGCGTTATCACAGGACAAAATCACAGAACAAAATTAATACTTAGGTCAGCATGCATTATCACAGAACAAAACTAATACTAAGGTCATATGTATTATCACAGAACAAAATTGATACTAAGGTAAGCATGCATTATCGCAGAACTTAATTAATATTTAGGTCATCATGCATTATCACAGAACAAAATTAAAACTAAGGTCATCATGCATTATCACAGAACAAAATTAATAATAAGGTCATCATGCATTATCGCATAACAAAATTAATAATAAGGTCATTATGCATTATCACAGAACATGATTAATACTAAGGTCAGCCAGCATTATCACAGAACAAAATTAATACCTAGGTCAGCATGCATTATCACAGAACTTAATTAACACTAAGGTAAGCATGCATTATCACAGAACAAAATTAATTCCAATGGTCATCATGCATTATCACAGAACAAAATTAATACTAACGTCAGCATGCATTATCGCAGAACAAAATTAATACTAAAGTCAGCATGCATTATCACAGAACAAAACTAATAATAAGGTCATCATGCTTTGTGACCTAAAGTAAGAAAAGCGTTGCGACAGAACAAAATCGTCAATATGTTTCTGATGTGTGTGTTTGTGTGTTTCAGGGAGGGATCGCATTCATTACCATAAAAGGTGTTCTTAAAATATATTACAAACAACAGCAGTACCAACGACAGGCCAACCGTGTCATTGTGGACTTCCCCAGTGAAACACAGATGTAAGGTCAAGGACTGGGAAGGTCAAGGTTGACACGGATCATGAACTGGACTTTCTCATATATGTCTGTAGTCAAAAGTTGACCTGTAAGCTGACACAGGTCTACAATCATTGACTCGGACAAAATATTGTTGACTCTAGACATCTTTAACAGGCTATTTACTAAACAGGAAAATACATGGTTTCAAGGTCATCATGTTAGACAATGTTGAAACTTGCCTCACATCTAGTGCCAGATATGAGTTGAGATGAAATACTGATGATATTACGAGATGTTGGGTAACATCTGGCCATGTGATGCTGTCCAGCTGGAGTGTTTGTTCCGAGCGCAGACATGTATCAAACTCTCAGGTGTATGTCCACCCCTGATGGTCAGAAAATACCACTGCCAACCAACAAAATGATTCTATCAGTATAACGGAAAGTTTACATTTACAAAGCCATTATTTGTTCGTCACTTTGTCTTTATAAGATTGTAAGTAACCTTGGTGTCCTACCTGAAGCTATGGCACTATTTGTAAAATCACATCAAAGTTATCAGGTAACACTCGCACCAAAATTTACAAGTAATGTCACAATTTGTACCTGATATTGTCATTCCAAAGAGGAATATCAAAGTGATAAAGGATGGATTTCTCCAAGAAATTTCAAGATTATGAAGAGTTTGATTTCATAGCAAATATCAAGATTATAAAGGATTGGATTCCACAGGGCAAATCAAAGTTGCAAAAGGTTGGAATTGAATATCAGGATTACAAAAGGGTTTGGTTTCAACAGGAAATTTCAAGGTAATAAAGGGTTGGATTCCACTGGGAATTTCAAAGTTACGAAAGGGTTGGCAATAGTTGGGAGATTTGGTTAGCCTTTTTCTGGAGTATTGTGCGGGGACCTATATCTAATGATTAAGTCAATGATACTGCTTATGAATATGTAATGATATAACAGTAAGTTGTTTAAAGGAAAGTTACCACAGCATTTGTCATGGAACTAGTGATGCTCTAGTGTTTTGAGTGTTAAGTTTTGAATGCCTTTCAAATGGCATGCACAATCACATGAATGTAAAAGCATGGGCATTCATAGTGAAATGAATGCAGACTTCACACAAAAACATGTGTTACTCGGTAAGAAGTGGTTTTCTAGTTTTGGATCAGTTGACATTGACTAAATGCCATGTGAAAGCCTGTCAGGTGTTAACGACTTAAAGTACAGTTTTGTGGAATCATTTCAAACTATTGAATAAAAAAAGACAGAAAATGTTCATAAAAGTGGTGATCCAAGGATCAAGCTATGGCTTTTGTAAGGCTATGTCTGTAATTGTTTCGTTGGGTTTGTACAGAGAGGGGAACAAAATAGTAAATAACTAAACTGGACTTGGTTGATCGCTGTTCAGACAACTGGACTTGGTTGATCGCTGTTCAGACAACTGGACTTGGTTGATCACTGGTCAGACAACTGGACTTGGTTGATCGCTGGTCAGACAACTGGACTTGGTTGATCGCTGGTCAGACAAGGTAGCTCAGTTGCTTAGAGCGTCTTTTGAATAAGACGTGCATGGGGTCTCTCTACCAGGTGTAAATACCGCCCTGCTTTGACTGTTAAAAGTATTGCCATATGATTTGTTTACATACCAAGTGTAAAGATATGTTTGTTCTGTTGAATTCAACGAGTATCAGCTCAGAGCTGACTAAAATAATGGATTGATGGTGCAGTTTCCTTTGATATCTGTGTCTCTGGGATCCAATCATTAAAGTGACACATGTAGTATATGCATGACCATTAGTCAAGTAGCAATACTGTAAATCACCTTAATTTCCTCAAGAGATTAATTTTCGTGATAACTCATGAGGAGACTTATTCTGGAATTTAAATTTTGGGTAATATTCATTCCAAAGATATTTATTTATACATCAATCCAGGATTCAAGGAATTGAAAATGAAACCCACAGACATACAGCCTCGTGCCAAGAGTATTCATTATTTACCTGTTTTTATTCCACATTTCATGAATCTTAACAAATTTTATCATTTTAATTCCCCTGGGCTAATTGCAGCACCACTGAAACCAAAATTTGCATATTGAATGATATGTTTCTAAATTATAATCTGAAAAAGCTTCAAAACAATTGTGTTGACTGGTTTTTGAGGTGTGACAAATTATTCAGTTGAAATTGGTTTTGCTGTGCCATTTTGTTCTTTGCCTTGTTCTTTTCAGTTGACAATAATTGACTGCAAGAAAATTAAATGAAAAATGAAAGAGATGCATAAACTAAAAAAGTAAATCGGGGCAAATCGTGCATACTGTACTTTTGACTTGATGCTGTGGTTCGTAAAATAAAGTAAAATGTACAGATGAAAATGAGGTGGCTTACAGTATATATCAGAAATGTCATATTTTCCAGTAAAAAATAATAATTGTGAACATTTGTGATTCCTGTTATGATATTAAAATTCAACCAATCTCACAGCTTTATAAAACATATTTCAATCAGAATTTAGCTTTGTAATAATCAAAAGTTAAAGTGCTGGTTGAGATTAATCTCAGTCATCCGTCATCAAATCTCAATTTACTGACAACATTTTCAACTTCATCGTAAGTATGAGCCATAGGATTTTGACCAAAGTTTGCCAAAATTTTCCATTCCCTTATCAAGTAGTGATATCATGCAGGCTAATCGGAACTGTTAGATGTCTACACTGTCCTCTGATTTGTTGAGATTTATATATTTCTTCTCAATTTTCACTCGATGACATTTATCCAAATCTGTAACTTGCTGATTTGAAGTCGATGATGGCCAACCTTGCCTCTGATTTGTAGAGACATTTTTTCAACTTCACTTGTTTCGCTTGGCTAATTGTAACTGAACTTGATACAAATGATTATAGCTTATTTGGCCATACTTGATTGATTTTATAATCCAATCTGGCAATCCATGAGCTCAAGTTCATGGAAAGTGTAACATTTCAGTTTCTTTTCTAGTTCAGATAACAAAACACACAGGTGAGTAATACAGGCCAGATGGGCCTTTTATTACCAGTGAAATAAGGAGCATTGTGTCTGTGATAAAGTCTAATGATATGATCACTTAAATTGTGATGATGCAGTGTTTAATCATACATACCAACACAAAATCTCTTTTTGACAGGTCACTAGCAATCTTTAACCATTTCGTAAAAATTAAATACTAAATATACAGTAAAATTCATGGTTTTCCATTTAAAATTGTATTTATTTCCCTTGTATGTCAGATTTGTGAAATATGTATGATATTCAATGGGAGACCATTAAACATATCTTCAGTTTCTTGTACAAATTAAAATCCTTGCACATTGTTTTAGGACACTGAAAAGATCCATGTCCAGCAGAATAATGAACGACTCGGCGTGTCAGTTTCAAGCTAGTACACGAAATACTTCAATCTGTTGTAAATATATAATTCTGTATATCAGACGGTGTTTTAATTATTAGCCCTCAGTCAAGCTATTCCTGGTTTCCTGCTGACTCATAATCCAATATTTATATTAACATTCAGTCAGAAGTCTTAATTTGTTTATCAAAAAACATGAGTGTTTTTGTGATTTCTGTTGTAGAAAAAACTAACTTGGAGTTATATATTATGTAAATAACAATGTGTTTGGGAAGAAAGCATTATCTGTCACTCCATGTACTGCCTCTATAGTGTAACCATGGCAACCGTTAAAGTATTAAATGCAGAAATAACGAAGATCATTTGTTGTGAAATTGAAATGCACATACCATGTCTAATATTGAATTCATTTGTTAATTAAAATCAGAAACTTCTATTTTTCTTTTAATGAAAACTGGTATTTTCAGGTTTGACAGAAACATATGAAGGTACCAATATGTTGACCTGGTATAAGGTTAGAAGTCTAGGCTAGCTGGAAATACTAATACCACAGGGATCTGAGACTTGAGTTTGTTACAGCTATATTTGAAATTAGTGAGGTCAATTTTATCCTGAGCTTTCCTTACTTTTCGTATGTATTGTCAATGGGAATGGCAATTTTACCAAAAGTTGTTATAAACACCTAAAACGTGTAATATTACTCTAAACACCGCAGTTTAGGTCAAAATATAGCTGTGACAACTTTTCAGGTCCTTGTGCTTAATACATGTTTATCATAACAGTACAAAATTGTCCAGTTCAGTTTTACTAAGCTTTTTGTTAGAGAAATGCTAGCATCAGTCATTACGAGAACTTGACTACATTCAGCCAAGTTAGAAAAGATTAACATGTTTAAGTCATTTTCCCCTAATTCTGTATTTTTTTTGTGTTCAGATTGGATTTACACCTTTGTTTTGTTGTTACATATGTACCAAGTTATTGAGTCCATTGTGCTTTTTATAAAGGTTCATATAGCACAGCCAGTGAAGTGTTAATTGTGACGTTTTGATGACTAGTACGATTTGTACTCAATTACCTTCATCAGACAAATGACGGGTAAAACATATATACACTATAATATAAGGTCTGAAGTAGGTACAAGTTGGCTACAATTAATTGGCTATGCTATCAATGTAAGCATATGTTTACACTTACTGCAGCATAACATGACATGTACGTTGTGAATAAACATTCGTGCTTTTCATGGTTGTTATTGAACCACAAAAATAAATACAAAGAATTGAATGATATACGTGTCTACGGTTTGTTAACATAGGATATCCATGAAAGTTTGTACCACGAAACGATCTGAATGGCTTCAAACCACGAAGGAAAGTACCCACGAACATTTAGTGTTTCACAGAAGTTGTTATTAAGTATATGAGTGAACATAAGCTTTTAGCACACCGTAGCCGAATTTTCAGTAATTAATTGTTGACATCTCGTTCATATTTTACATCTTAGTGTTCATATACTTCACCGGTCATTTGTCTGATGAAGGTGACTGATACATATCGTACTAGTCATCGAAACATCCCACACAAGGCATTCTTTGGCTGTTCCATATAAACCTGTATAGTCTTTACTTAATACCATTCTGAAGAAATGTTTAATAAAGAATCCACTTGGTTATAAACAACCTTCCCTGTGTATAGAGATACCTCTAAATATCAAAACACCTGTGAATTCAGATACCTGTATATGATACAAAAATGTTCGTAGCCATATCTCTACATTATTGTCGATGAAGATGCTATACTTCCAGAACACTGGTCTTATTCTGTTTGTACTTTTTCAACTTTCGTTCAAATTTTGTCCTAGATTCATCAATTTTAAGTTTTAATTACATTTGAATTCACGTTGCTTCAGTATTTCTCAGCTCATTGTTATTTTCTCTATGTTTATGTATCTACTACTGTATTATTAGTTCCTGTTTATACTAAAGCCTCTACGTCATATAAACCTGATTCATGATTCAAATTCTGTATGATCAGAAGTCATCTGCAAGAATTTTTATTCAGTTGTTTTCAGATATTCATAAGATAGATTTGATTTAATATCCATGAAGCAATGTTCTTGTTCAATTGAAATGATTTAAATTTATGCAGACCAAAATCCTTTTTCCTGGAAATCAGTTTAATCATATTTTATGTTATTCACATAAAGATTAGACCTTAATGAGAGCAAAAATAAGCTCAAATCCCCGACAGTGGTCCAGAAACATGTATCCCCTAACCCTTTCACCACTAGTACTGTAGACTATAATGGACTCATCCAGATCAATGCATGGTAGAGTCTACTAAAGCTATAAAGGGATGAAAGGGTAAATGTCTACTGAAGGTCCATTGATATACCAGAAGGTACAGTTGTAGTAATCTGTGATAGGGATATAAGGTATCAAACTTTCTTTTGATGCCGTTTTACCAGAAAACAGTTACTTTCCAAAGTAAGCTATTGCTGTCAGCCAGAACTTCTAATGCTGGTTTGCCACTGTCAGTCTGTATACTAGTATGGTATTGATTTGTTTTCATGAAGTTTCATTTTGTATACAAAGTGTAGGCATGGAAATGTAATTTTCAATGAAAGGTCAAATAAATATAATGTGTGATAGAAATGCCACTTTGTCATGTTTTCTGTATCTATACAATCACAAAAGTTGTATAATAACAATTTGAGGTTCTTATATACCGCTTTATCACAACGAACCTAGTTCATAGGTCGTCTCAAAGCAGTTCACAAAATTATCCGTGGTTATAGGGCCTTTGCAACAAGCCAATATCTTTCTCAACTGCCTGGGGAGATTGAGCCGGTGCTGCCATTTGAGCGCTCACAGCTTAAGCATACAACAATTCTAGCCCTGCCCAACCATGTACTCATTTACAGCTGAGTAGACTGGAACAAGTGGAGTAAAGAATCTTGTTTAAAGATACAACACAGTGCTGTGACGTGCCTCGAACCCGCAACCCTTCCGTCATGAACCCGTCGTCCTACCGCTAGACTACCGTGCCACCGTACATATTCTAGGACACTGGTATTCTGTCAGGAAGTGGTTTACCGACAGGTGTAATAATCACAAGTGTAATACAGGCATCTCGATTTTCAAAGATCAAAATGAGGTTCACAACTGCAACTGATCATGTGAACAGAAGTACCCTCATACAAATACACGGATACAAATGTATCTATAGTGCAAATGGCTCTGTTAGTACCCTCATACCTGACTATCTACAGAGTACACCCTTACCCAAATACAAGAGGCCCAATGGGCCTGCATCACTCACCTGGTATTAATCTCACACTTGTAATCTTAAAAGAGGACTAAAATAAAGCTTCAGGCAAAATATCAGCATCTTGACTTAAAGTTTAAAGTAATTCAGAAAAAATGGGCAAAGGTCATTCATTTGAACAAACTTGGTAGCCCTTCATCCCAGCCATCTCGGTTATTTAGAATTAGTCGTTTAAAGGTTTAAAAGATATTTGACCCCAGTGACCTTGAATATAAATCAAGGTCATTTATTTGAACAAACTTGGTAGCCCTTCATCCAAGCATGTTACTGGCCAAATATCATCACCCTAGGTCTCTCGGATAATCAGACGAAGTCGTTTAAAGGTTTTAACATATTTCACCCCTGTGACCTTGAATATAAATCAAGGTCATTTATTTGAACAAACTTGGTAGCCCTTCATCCAAGCATGTAACTGGCCAAATATCATCATCCTAGGCCTCCCAGTAATTTAGAAGAAGTCGTTACTGGCATGTTACTGATTTAAATTCAAGGTCACAGGGGTCAAATATATTAAAAACCTTTAAACAACTTCTTCTGAATGATCAAGAGGCATAGGATGATGATATTTGGCCAGTAACATGCTGGGATGAAGGGCTACCAAGTTTGTTCAAATGAATTACCTTCATCTTTTTTCAAGGTCACAGGGGTCAAAT